GGTCAGGACCAGAACCGGGTCAGGTACAGAACCGGGTCAGGACCAGACCCGAGTCAGGACCAGAGACCAGAACCGGGGAACAGGTCAGGACCAGAACCGGGGAACAGGTCAGGACCAGAACCGGGTCAGGACCAGAACCGGGGAACGGGTCAGGACCAGAACCAGGTCAAGACCGGAACCGGGTCAGGACCAGAACTGGGTCAAGACCAGAAATGGGGCATGACCAGAACCAGGGGACGGGTCAAGACCAGAACCAGGTCAGGTACAGAACCGGGTCAGGTCAGGACCAGAACCAGGGGACAGGTCAGGACCAGAACCGTGTCAGGACCAGAACCGTGTCAGGACCAGAACCGGGTCAGGACCAGAACCGGGCCGGCTGGTTCTGCTCACCTGACGCCGGGGTCGCTCATGCTGTGTCCATGGTAACGGTAGGTCTGCAGCTCCATCACGATGGGGCCCTGAAACACAGAGTGGACGTTAGCTGGACCACAGGAAGCCCAAAGGGGGGGGGGGGGTTCTGGTCCAGACTGGGGGGGTCCAGTGGGTCCGGTTCTGGTCCGGCTCACCTTTCCGGCTCGGCAGTGATCCGCAGCGAACTTGGCGGCCTCCCGCACACACAACACGTCCATCCCATCCACCTGACCAGAGAGGGGACAAGGTCAGGATAAAGGTCAGAACAAGGTCAAACAAAGGTCAGGCTGAAGGTCATGCTAAAGGTCAGGCCGAAGGTCAGGCTAAAGGTAATTTCTCCTCCAGAAAACAGTAAAAACTGCACAGTTTGATGGTTAAAAACTCCCAAAATTGAAAGCCAGAAGTCCAAAATGAAACCTTTAACTAAAAAGGATTAGAAGATTTTTTGGGATAAATAAATACATAATCAGGCTTTTTTAAAGGGAGTTTCAGCTGGTTTGAAGTCAGTTTCAAGATTTAATCAGAAATACTTTAATAATCCCAGAGGGAAATTATTTTCGTTACCAACTATATATATATATACACATATATATATATATATATATATATACACAT